GTGTGTGTGTGTGTGTGCGTGTGTGTGTGTGTGTGTGTGTGTGTGTGCGTGTGTGTGTGTGTGTGTGTGTCCTGATGTCTTCGATTGTTATGATCCGGTGAAGCCAATTGGAGAGTGTGTCACAGTTTGGGAAGGTGCTTATTGGCAGGCAGTGGAAGGAAGAAAGAAGTGAATGCAACTGCTGATTTTGGATTTGCACAGATGGCTATCAAACAGCCGATCCGAAGTCGTTCTCTGCAACATCATGGTTTAAGGAGGTGGTGCGCAACATGGAATATTAAGGTTGCGTTTCAGAACTCGTTATCCGGCCCATTATGGAATCAAGTCAAGGATCTTTAAATGTGTACCCCCCTTGTGCGTCTGACCTGCTGCTGACACTACTCGGCTTTGCGAGGTATACAAGCTGATGGACACCGATTGACGGCCTCAATATGGTTCGGCGGTTTTTCTTTTTAGCTGTGGCTCAGACAGATGTGGCGGTCGCTTTCAGGGATTAAGTTATTATGGTTATGTTTCAGAAGGTGAATATACCATCCAGAGTCCAGACTTATCACAACTGTCAGCAAGGTATTCGGACGTATCTATCAAGGAATCTTGGTTGTATTCTTAACCGCTGTTTCTCTTTTCCTTTCCGGTGACCGTGGGAGATGTCCACTAAATGGAACAAGACAAGTGTAGTAGTGGTATGAGCAGGTTGATCGCACGATCAATGAGACAAAGCAAAGCAAGGCTATTAGAGAGCTAAGAGCACACATGTGCTTTTGTTCTCCTCTTATTACATCGCTTTTTCAGAGGTTGCATCGCCAGGGATGTGTATATATCTACCCTTTAAATGCCCATAACAAGTGACGGAGAAAGCGCGTGTTTAAACGTCCATATCAAGCGAGGGAAAGCGAATGTCCATATCAAGCGAGGGAAAGCGAATGTCCATATCAAGCGAGGGAAAGCGAATGTCCATGTCAAGCAAGGGAAAGCGGATGTCCATGTCAAGCAAGGGAAAGCGCATGTCTTCAAACGTCCATATCAAGCGAGGGAAAGCGAATGTCCATATCAAGAGAGGGAAAGCGAAGGATATTCTTTTCAGTTTGTGTTCTAAAAAAAAAATATATGTTTCCTGTTGAGGCTTTCAGGACATCTGTGCAAATTAAGTCAATTTTCTTGGAAAACCCTGGAGGGGTCATCTGCTGCCATTGGAAGTGGAAATCTCTAATTCATTGGTGTTAGGAGAGAATAGATGGTCTCCACTCTGATTATGCTCTGAGTCCGCTTTACGATGGTCCGTCGCTTCAAACCTTATTAATTATAGCAATGCTTGCCAAATGTCCAACCTGGAGTGTCGGCGTATTTCTTCGTCGAAGCTTAACGACTCAGGAGCAGCCAGATTCCCCGAGTTTGTCGCATCGCGAGCGGGTCCATCGCGAACGGTGGCACATCTTATTGCAATGCTCTTGGCAGAAATGTTTCCTTCGTCGAAGTGACTGTAATGGCATTTCGTAGTTGCCCGATCACTGCTGCCTGGTCTCATGTGATAAATACGCTGTTGACATTACGAACGTCGACCTTCCTCGTCAAAAGTCGTTTACTTGTCGGTACATAGCTAAGTGTATAGCCAGGTACATCAGTTGTTGTTCTTGCATCTGAGTGGTATTTATTCGTACAAGGGCTGGCGTGAATGGATTTGGAGGGGTTTGCACTTTTGAACAGATTATTATGAGGATTAACATGTGTCTGATTACTCAAGTCTGTTTGTTCGCCTTCATGAACGACTGGGAAATGCTCCACTAACAATCGCTGTGTTGATGGGTTTCCTCTTCCTGTCAGTGACTCCATGCCTGTGAGATCGGCATCAGTTCGGCGCGGAGAAGCGTCGTAAAAAGGAGGAAGTGGTGTGTAGCCCTGTGTACTCTTTCTCATGTTTTCGAATGCAGGCAAGTCTGAACGCAGATCTGTTTGTTTGTGGGTGGCTCAAACCGTTAAGGGCGCTTCGTTCTCTCCGTTTTTTGAGTCGGGCTGCACGTATATCGGGCATCGTCTCCAGGCTGAGATGATGATGATGATAGCAAGGAGAGGCAACAGAACGTTACACTTCGGCAAAGCCACAAGTGAGTATCGAGAGTCAACCTCGCCAGCATGAACACTTCTTTCCTTTTTCGCTCTTTTTATTCGGGCTGCACTTTTTGTCCTTTCGGTATATTTCCGTTTGCTGCTTGTTTCATGCGTGACAGAGACAGACTGGCTTTTGGTATCCGTTTGCTGCTTGTTTTCATGCGTCACAGAGACAGACTGGCTTTTGCTCTCCTCGATTCGCCTATCTGTGTTTCCAGGTTGAAGACCTCGCCAGCATGAACACGTGACCGTATCTTTCCTCTTGCCATTCCTGTTGCTCGGGTGCGTCATTCCAGGAGTCTTTCATGCATGCTCCCCTCATGAAATAAGTCGCTTGTTCGTCCTGTTGCGGACATCTGTCGGCAACATCCCACTTGACTATGCCAAAGTGGGCAATTCATTCGGTGGTGACTTGCACGGTTGTCGTCGCTAAACCAACAAGAATCTGGACTACGTATTTGAAGTTATATTTCATCATGCAACCGATATCTCCCCATGCCCCTCCTACCGAGGAGCCCCAACTCCCCACTTACATCTGTTCATTAAGGTGTTTCGTGTATCCTCTCCTCCCACTTTACTTGCCTTTTTTTTTTTCTTCTTCTTCTTCTTGTGTTTATCCTATTCGTTGCACTTGGTCATTTCTCTGTCTTCCCTTCCATGATCATCTTCTAGCCGTAGTCCGTTCCTTTCTTTTCCTGTTTCTTTCTTTTTAAGTTTTTAACAGAAAGAACACACAAAGCCCTATCTATTCTGGGCGCCGTCAGTTCGGTTGTTTATCTCCGGCAAGCAGGAGTTCCAGCAAGCAAGAGACTTGTAGAGATAGAAATCGGCCAGACCCTTGCGGTACTAGCCACCTATCAAAGGGGGGGACTTTCGCTGGCCATCTCGCCTGCCAAACTATAGCTTCCTACCTGCGGGTGCTTCTGCTGGCCGGGAAGCTTAGTAGCAGCTCCAAGTCATGCAGCAGAAGGATCGCAGGGGTGGCGAGGCATGGGAGGGGCATACCTCGCTATCTCAGACCGCTCGTCTCGTCTCCTCCTAATGGCCAAAGCATCTAAGTAAAAAGCTTATTACTGCGTCCATGCTTATTACTACGAGTAAAAACTTACTAAAAAGCTTCTTGCTATGAGTGCACCCATCTCTCACGGCGTCCATGCTATAACCCTACGAATTTCTGACCCCCTCCATAACCCCTTTATTATACCAGCCTGCCCAAACTTCATATGCTTGCAGTTGTTCCTCCATAGCCCCTTTATTTTACCAGCCTGCCCAAACTTCATATACTTGCGATTGTTCCTCGATAGCCCCTTTATTTTACCAGCCTGCTCAAACTTCATATACTTGCATTCCCCTCTTTGTATATCCTTTTTTTTTTTTTTTTTTTTTTTTTTTCCCTCTTTGTATTATCCTACTTACCGCCTGCTACCTTTTCTCGTCCCTTGCCCGCCACCAGTAGTCCTGCCAAGTCCATCCTTTTTTTTTTTTTTTTTTCGATGACGGCCACGACCTACTAGGGGGAGTGATGTGTGTGCATCTCTGCCCAGTGTGCCCGGCCATGGATGCTCCGGTCTATTGGTAGGCAGCATCACCCTGCTGTCCTCCTTTTACTTCCCTCCTTCTGCATCTTGTTTGTGACCTTCCCGTCCCCAGATGATTGTTATCCTTTCCTGTCACCTGTCCTCTGCTCCTCGATCACCACCTTACCGTTTTTTAAACCAAAAAAAAAAAAAAAGGAACTGGCACGTTTTTTTTTTTTTTCCTTTCCTTTTTTTAATTCTTTTTTTTTAATTATTATATAACTGGCTTTTTTTTAATTCTTTTGTTGCTGGTGGTTCAAAAAATGGTAAGAAGGGCGTTTTCTCTTTTTGCTGGTGCCCAGGGTGTTTCCTCACACAGCCCCCAATGTAGTTATGGCCCTTCCCTTCCCGAGCCAGGAAACACCCTGGGCACCGCCTTGCCATTTTTTCAACCACCAGCAAAAAGAGAATTAAAGAAAAGCCAGTTATATAATAATTAAAAAAAAAAGAATTCAAAAAAGAAAGAATTCAAAAAAAAAACGTGCCAGTTCCTTTTTTTTTTTTTTTGTTAAAAAAATGGTAAGGTGGGCACCAAAAAAAGATGAACTGGATGGCATGTTTTCTTTCTTGGCTGGATCTGCCGGCCATTTAGCTCCCGCAGGCTGTGCCCCTTGATGAACGTCATGGGGCGTTAATGGCCGCGTCGGAGATAAATGGCTGGGAAACGTACTGGTGGTTAAATTGCCCCTTGTGATCGTCACGTGTGGGGTTCGTCTTTTCATTCGTTTGTGGGAATGTGAGTGGCGATCACGTAAAATGCCAAGCTGGAGACTCAAAGACATGCCGGCGACCGAAGAGACCCAAGGACAAGTGGGAAATGTCAATCTGGGTAGAGAACGACAGAACCCACATCCGATAACATGCAGTGAGGTCGAAGATGTATAGACGATGCATCGGCACCCTCGAGGTAGACAAGTAGAAGAGGGAGAGCTCTATTGAACGATGCATCGGCAAAATACTATCCTCTCCATCTAATAATAGAGGGAGAGCCCTAGAGGAAGAGAACTCTATAATGAGCCTATATACAATGGATGGCAACACTTCAACATCAAAATACATGAATGAGTTGGGGTTCGGTCTCAGAGAGAGGCAATACTCTGCAACCAAGACTCTCCCTCCCTCTTTGAAAAAGAAGAAGAAGAATTCGATCAGAAAATACTCTGATTTTTTCTCCTCCTCTTCTTCTTCTTCTTCTTCTCCTCTTCTTCTTTTCCCTCCCTCCCTCCC